TCCTTTGTGCCAATTTCATTTTAATATCTTTATTTATGGCTTAGTTATGACATTTTATAGGTTTTCGGTTTCCGCCATTTTGTGGGCGTGGCAGTGAGCCGATTTTGCCCATCTTCGAACTTAACCTTCTTATGGAGCCCAGAAATACGTGTACCAAGTTTCATCATGATATCTCAATTTTTACTCAAATTACAGCTTGCACGGACGGACGGACAGACGGACGGACGGACAGATAGACATCCGGATTTCAACTCTACTCGTCACCCTAATCACTTTGGTATATATAACCCTATATCTAACTCTTTTAGTGTTAGGACTTAGAAACAACCGTTATGTGAACAAAACTATAATAGTATCTTTAGCAACTTTGTTGCGAGAGTATAAAAAACACCCTAATGTACATATGTATATACGGCACAACAGTATATGCCTTAACGTATTATTAGCTATGCTTCACATAAGCACGGTATTGCTATAGCGACCTAAAAATATTGTTTTAGAAAATTTAACAGCATATGTTTGTTATTTTCCCACCTCCTCCCTACCATTAGCCTGCCATGGCAGACATAATAATGACTCCAAATGGTTTTGAAAGATAAAGCATACAGAAAAGAAAGACCAGTAAGTAAAATTTTAGGAAGCAAAAGCATTTAAATTACGTAATAAGGCATTCAAAAGGTTACATTATGATTTCGTAAGTAGACAATTATTTCAATTCTCTTATTCAGGCCTGTATGTAATTATGCTTGTTATTATCAAGGTGAACAGAAAACTAGAATTAGTGAGTCACCATTGACCTTGATTTAACCACAAAATGCTTGGCTTCGCCATTTCGAAATTTATTTTTGAGATTTTAAGCATATTGCAATTGATTGATAATCGAGGAATGTACCGCGACCTCAGGTCTATTGTGCCCTCAAGCATATGGTAATGCTTAACTAATGGAAAAAACTGTTAATCTCTACTTTACTACAGCGGAATTATAAATTAGCCGAATATTTAGAAGAAACTAGCGTAAGCTGCTATCTGTTGTATTTCAAACCAGTTATTTAGGCAAATTAAGATGGGACTTAGAATTCGCGAGCTCAAACTTTTTTGTGATCAAATATAGCAGGCGTTTTATAAATTCTCGATATACAACTTGAAAACATAATTCTATATCTGGTCCCTGACATGTTACGCTTCGATAATTGATGCGTAAAACATTTGAGCAATAAAGGTGCCAGTTGTTTACCGTAGATCAAATTAATGTTCTAGTTCTGCAGTATTTTCCCCAATGCAATAACAATTACCTGGAACACTTTGGCTAATGTTCGTTGTAAGCCAAACAACTCAAGAAGGTCTTTCGAAGCCATTAGGGAGTAAACAGCTTTTACTACAAATGAGGAGTTGAAAACAAAAAGTAGATTTGATTTTTTTTTTTGTATTTTCTGAGAAAATTTGGCATTGCAATCTAGGGATATATATATTTTATACCATCAGAAAAGTGAGATTGCAGCAAACCAAAAGAATTTTCTTTGATTTGAGAATTTTTGATTACAAATTGATTTATTTAGTAACTAGCTGAACCAGCAGCCGTTTTTCTGCGTGAAATTATGTGTTTTGAAATTAAAAGAAAGTCGAATTTATATTGTGTTTAAAATCATTTTTGGCGATTTTTCTACATTMTTTTCAATGTATCGCAGCTTGATAAACAATATATTTTGGTTTCTGTTTCGATGCTTAAATGTACAGAGAAGATGGTTTTCTAACTCGCGGAAAACAGAGCATTGTCAGATTTATGCCACACACTTCTAGCGACTATCATTGAGTACTGTTTATTGACATCGTAAACCCCTGCAAACTGAAAAACTGAATACGTTTGAGCTGAAATGGCAAATGATTAAAACTCAAAGGAATTCGTAGAATCAAGAACTCTGCTCCATCGTATTCGATAGCAGTTTCGGCGCATGAAGATTGCGAAACATAATAATGACAGATCCAACTTTGAGACGCAAATGAAGCGGCGGCCTACCAAACCTCTTCAAAGAATTTAGAAATTCCGATAGAAAATTCACGATTTCTCGGAATTGAACTTTAAATCTCAAATCGTGTGCATTCAAGCAATGCTTGTTACGAAAATTTATCCAATGGTCGGATTTTGTATATCTTAGCGCATACGATGAAAAATGTCTTCGATAATGCAATTTTTTTTCGTATCGGGGATTTGAAGGCTGATATGTTCAAATGATTATCGCGAAAAGTGTGTGAACTTCATTTGCATTCGAAGTAGCTATTGCATCGAACATCATTTTATTCCAGTGATTATCATGTTCCAGCATGTGTAAATTCGTCCCAATGCATTAGTCGGTAACACCTGGATGTAAATCGACTGGTTGGCCTTGCTTTCTGAGTAACTATTTCTTCGACGATGCATTTCATATATAATATAATATCAAGCCATCTCCGAATAGAGCAAGTTCTTGCAAACGGATCACTGACGCAAGCCGCGAAAATACTCGTCAATGTCAATTTTGTTTTTGGCAGTGTTTCCGTTGGCTACAATGTTTTCCCTGGGTTGAAATACACATTTTGGCCTTCTCCAAATGAACTGCGAGATGCATAACAATCGGAAAAGGTTCATGAATGGCGTAATTAAATATCCTACAAAACGCTTTATTGCAGTTCAGTTATCGACCCATTTGATACTTGCTGATCTCGTCTCATCCAAGGCCAATAACCGCCATGTTGCTTTCATTKGTGACGTAATTACAAAGGTATTTGATCGATTTCAACAAACTGCAATACGCAACATTGACATGAGTTTTCAATGCGAATTAGACAACAGTTGTGAATATGGTACGGATCCATGTATTCTCGACTACGATGTGTTGTTAACTTCGATATTCATGCCTCTAAATTGAATGCAGAATGTTCTGCCATTGTCGTCTGGTGGGCGACGCCGATATCCACCCATCCTTTCTAGTTTGTGTTTCCGAAAGAAAATCACGTGTATACTATTTCGTGCATTTATTTTCAGACATACAAACTGAATTGGGATTGTGGTGTCCGCTAGGTCAATGAACCATATTGGTTT